CAAAACCAACAAGGAAGTGGCTTCACGTGACTTAAATAGATGTGAGAATACTTTTTGAGACTTGATGCATCTAATTTAATTGTATAAATTCGGATTTATTTTTAAAGAAATATTCCTATAATATTGCTTTGATGTTACATCCTTAGTTGTAAAAGCCAAAGAGTTGAACGTTTCAATAAGCTGATCAAAAAAACCTTCAAAATTAGAATGAAATAAAGACACTAAGACCAAAACATAAAATATAATAAAATCATATTTATTCCTCTCATGTTAAATTTGATACTTCAGAACACTTTCCTGCAAAAGCTCATCTTCTTAGTGATTATTTAAGCTACCGTGTTTTTCATCCTTTATACCAAAAAATAATAATAAAAAACAGAGCAGTAGCTTCTTCAGATTCTGACTAATACACCAGAACAGTTGATCACAATATTTCAGTTTGAAACAGGATTTGTTAGTTGTAAGTAATCTGGGTGGAAATGACACCACAGCAGCTTGTGTTTCTGTTCACACATTTCTGACGTGTACAAGAGAAAAACAAAAAAGGTCAGGCCAGATAAAGAAATATTTTTTTGATCTCCAGGCGACTGTGTTGTCCCAGCTGATGTGAAACAGAGCAGGTCTGAACGACTCCACAAGTAAGTTTTAACTGGCCTAGATGCTGATACGTTTCTTTTGTAAAAATACAAACTGCCAAACGTCTCTCTCTTTAGCTTGGCTGATGCTGGGATCTGCTCCCTGTTTTCCCAGGTGTGGACAACAGTCGGGTYGCTAAAAGCTGTAAGAGGCGCACAGACGCGACCTTGACTAAACCTTACAGCTCTGTTTGCTTAAACTTTCAGCCCTTCGCCAAAACGGGCTCTCTTCTCTTTGTTGAAAGTTTAGTCTGTGTGCAATCCACTGGTACCGTCTACAAAAACAACTCAATYCCCCCACAAAACAGAGGCTTGAGAAACAGGAATGTTCTTCAGTTGGATCAGGACTAATTTTGTCTTGCATGGTGCAAACACAAACCAAAACCAAAATAAAAATAAAATAAAACAAGCTCATTTTGCTGTTTTCAAAACATACGCCTGCCTGCAAGATTGTGTCAAGCTCTTCAGCTCATAACAGCCTTCATTCTCACAAATTATTGCATTCTAAAAAAGGACCGCAATTCATGAAATCAGCTGACATCATTGTAGAACAGGGGTAGGCAATCCTGGTCCTSAAGTGCCGCTGTCCTGCATGTTTTACTTGTTTCCCTGCTCCAAAACACCTGATTCAGAGRCTGAATTGCCTCTTCCAAGTTCTGCAGAAGCCTGTTATCATTCATTCAGATAAGGTGTGTTGAAGCAGAGATACATGTAAAACACGCAGGACGGCGGCACTTGAAGGACCAGGATTGCCTATCCCTGTCGTAGAATATTTCACAACAAAAAGAGACTTTTTCCTTTTTAATTCACATTCGTTTTCTCCTTTCCTAAAGTGAGACTGGRAGCGTTGCCTGCTTTGCAGCTTATCTGCATCTAAATTTGCATCAACTTGAGAGAGACTGAACGAAAAGTGAGTACTCCYGCCATTTCCCTAAATCAACATTTGACAAAAGCTCAAGCCAGTTAAACGAGAGGAGTGACAGACAGGAACTTTATTTAAACTGGACTTGGTAGATTCTGTGAAAACTTCCAAACAAGCAAACTTGTTTTTATTCTTAAGAAAGAGTATTTTTATTCACCCCCCGTCCCCGTATGCATAGCTTTCAAAAACAAAACAGTGCATGTGACCCCAGAATTACAATTAACAATCAATCACCAGTCCACTACACATGACTTCTTTTCTACAATGGCACCCTCAACACTTGACTGGACAGATCCAGAAATCTTTTTACACACCTCAATTCATCCTTTCCCCCGTGCCATCTCCTCCTCACTACTCCCCTGCTTTTAATTCTTTGTGCATGAGGAAAAAGGAGTGAACCAAAACAAAACGTTGCAACACTCTCTCTCTGTCTGCAAATGTACAAATAAAACTACCGTTTTGACGTTTTTAATTTAAGAACTGAGCTTGGTTTGGAATCACTGAAAACGTGTCGTTATTTGAAGCCGAAGTATGCATACAAGACATCTGGTCCATTATTGAGCTACAGGAAATGGGGCGAACCACACATGATGTCATGATAAACAAGGAAATAAGTCAAGACAAATACTAAAACTAAATGGAGACCATTGATCCCAAAATAAAAAAATATTTAAGATTGTATCCAAAATCTAGTTAATCAGTCACAAAATACCCTTCAAACTGTTTGATGATTATTGAGAGCGAGATTATAAAACCAATGACGGATCAGGAGCTTCCACAACACAAAAAATACTGAAGACATTGAATTAAAAGGTATGTTTGTACACAAACATTCAAAAACTGAGCCTCTAAAATAAAAATAAAAATACAAAAAAATAACCACAACAATGAAATAGAGCGATACTGAAGTCCAGGGAATATTAGGTCTTTATTCAGAGGAATTATGATTGCTGCCCCCCAGTTGGTCATACTGTTATCTGAATCTGCCAATCTTTAGTGAAAGAAAATCAAAGAAGGTTAAAGGTTCATTGTCCTTAAGGGACCTCCCCAGTTCCAGTAACCCGCCAAGAGCCCTTAAAACCATTTAGTCAGAAAACACCCAATACATCTTCTTTAATGTCTCTCTGCTCTTACTGGAGAGAAGTGCCCTGCTATTATCTACAACGAGAGGCTACAGGGTATTCTTCGAGGGGAAAAAGCCACACAGTTCAGATCTGTATTCTTTGGAAAAAAGGTCATCAGTTAAGGAGCTGCCATAAGTCCCCACGGGGGAGTAACTGGTATTGTCAGCAGGATTCTCATTGTATCTTCACAAAACTGTGGCACGTGTTCAAGAGATTTCACCAACGAAGCAGACCTAAGCCTGGAAGGGAGTGTCGGGCAGATAAAAGAGATATGTTATAAACTATTGTTAAATGGAGCGTAAGTGGGAAAGGCTGAACAAAGTTTGTTTGATCTGACGGTCAAAGCGCTGGGTTTGTGTTCTCTTAGATCTCGTAGCTAAAAGTTTGAATTAAGTCAAATAAAACAAAAGCCTGTCCAATTAGTTTTTATTTCTCCTCTTTTCTTTTAGTTTTATCTTTAAATCGGACACAACAAAGCATATTTTATGGTCTAAGCTGTCGTTTTTTTCTAAAAGCTCAGTCAACTGGTGAGCAACTCTGATTTCATGTATGTGAAGCCTTTTCTTTCATGTGTCTGCTGACYGGGATGGACGGTGGCGCCACTGGTGACCCGTGCTTGCAGGCTGGTACTGTGTGATACAGTCATTATGAAACGCACACTTTCCCGTTCAAGCAGCACACTGGGTGCAGAGCATCTCCTCTCAGGAATGAGGTACTTTCACAGTTACACACTCACCTCTTTGTCTGGCTACTAACAAAGGGCAGCAGATATACAGACAGCTCAGTCTGCTTTAGCATCACATTCTTTTAAGCCTCATCATCATCTCAGCGCGGTGTTTCAACCACCAAAAACACACACAAAAAAGCTCAGACAGGGAAAAACAACTGTTAGTTTTGGTTTTCTTTCTAAAGTGTTTTAGACTGATGCAGAAAACGAGATATAATATTTCATAAGAAACATCATGATTGGTTAAAACCCATCTAAAAAGCAGGCGACATCCTTTCTGATTAGAAAAACAGATATATGTTTAATGTGATCAGACTGTTTCAGATGCACAGATGAGGAGATAGAAATAGAAAATGTTGTGCCGTGTAATCATTTAAGAAAAACTGGAAAAACTTCTGTAGACCACGACGAAGTTAAAAGTGAGCACTGATAAGTTTTGTTTCTGAGTCAACACTGTTTTGGCAAAACATCCCAGTTCTGTAGAAATCACTGCACCATTCCAGAAACCCATCGACAGCAAACACGGTTCAACTTCAACCAAATTCTGTTTATTGTTTTGTCTTTCTGGGCCAAAGAACTTCTCCTCAGGGAAAGTCTTGCTTATCAGCAAGAAATTATATTTTCAACTTTTTAAAACTGTGAAGTCTAACAGACTTGCTAGCAATTAAAGCAATAAGAGCGTTTCGAAACGTAAAATCAACAAACTTTAAACTTTTTAAAAGCTGAATCCCCAAAACATCAAAACAGACGAAAMACACAACTTCTAAAACTACATCTAACCTAGTTTTCGATTAAAATACTCAGTGGGATTTTTGAGGGGTTTGTGGGAAGCTTTTGTACCAGAACCGCTGGACGACAATTAAAACAATACCATGGAGTGTACACACTCATTACCGAACCAAGTGAGGGACATTCCAAGGAGGATTGAGGATTAAATAGATGTGAATGTTGATGGATTCATTTGTATGCTGGACGACTTGCTGGCAAGCAGTCAAGGCTGTTCTAAAGTTGGGATCAATGAGCGGCAGAGATGGAGAGAGGACTCGACGTTCTGTGCTTGTGGTTTTAAAAACACACAGCTCCTGAAGGAGACTCCCTTTTCATGCAGATCTTTTGTCTGTCAGTAATGTCTGGTATGCCGGGACACAGGCTTTGCTCAATGACCTGATTTTCTATAGGCCTGCCGAGCCACCGGCCTCTGTTTGCGTACGAGCTCGTCTGCCTGCAAGCCCTTCCTCTGGATAAGGCTCGGGACTTAACTGGGCAGACAGACGCAGACCCARACTGATCCAGCAAATAAAGAGGCTGGAAAACACAAAAACACACACAAACCCTTCCATGCAGTAAAAAAATAAAAAATAAAAGGCCCAGAGACAAGCATAGCTGGATGAGGAAACATTCTGTGGCAAAACTTAATTCAAGGCAGCACAAAAAGTGCAGCCAAAGATGCAGTTAATGTCATAGTTGACTGTTTTATAGGCATACCATTGAGAAAGCAAAAAGCAGTTTTCTAACCAATTTTAATTGAAACCAAAGGGATACAAAAGGGACAAAAAACACAAAATCTTGGTAGAGAATTTGAGAAACTTTACCTTGTTTCTGTATGAATATCCTCAGCAGCGGATGAGCCGTTGACACAGCCTTGCAAAAGTTATCRTCATTGTTAATCGGCAGCAGGTCCCCGTGGACGTCGGCATAGCCAATCATCACCTCCATATTAGCGATGCGGTGAATGTGGAGGATAAGCTTGTAGAACTCCTCAAACTTGCCGGGCTTGATCCGGTCCAAGGAGAACCTGCGGAACTCTGCTCCATACTGAAAAGATAAGAAAGTGATGGATGGGAAAAGAAAAATGTGTTTAAAAAGTTGGTGCAACGAGAAGAAGCAGCTTTTGGGCATTACAAAAACTTAATGAGCATTTAAAGTTTGAAAAACCGGTTTCAAAACAGCTAAAACATTTCTCTAGCATTTGCATAAACACAGCAACGGGAAACATAAACCTCAAGGGTAAAAAAAAGAAGAAAAAAAAGAGTTGAGTTGCTTTTTGTGCATCTAATGCCTTCCTCCAAAAATAGACCTTATAGAAACAAGGAAGGTAATTAACTTTTCACTGAGAGTTCATATTGTTGATGCTGCATGTAGGGGGGCTGAGACAGGAATAAAAGTGTCCTTTAAGTTTACTAATTTTATACAAAAAAAGAGATACTTTCACTTTACTTACTTAACAGAATTATACTTAAAGTTTATGTTACCTGTACTTGACTTATACTGAAAACTTTACTACAAGTGTACTGGTAAACAGAAGTACACTTTGGAAAATGTTCTTTACTATACCTCATGTACTTGAGGTATACTTCTTTTTGGTAAGGGAACAAATGAGCTTAAATGAGTATAAAACTGATAATAATGGAAAAATTGTCGATCATTAAAGGGCTCGACACACAGGAGGCGACGTCGCTCGCTCTCCATTCATCTGGAGCCTGTGCGGTGAGGCGACAATCGCTTTCCTTCCTCCAGCTGAGCGACCGGCGAAAATAGTGCATGTGAAATTTCRCGCTCGTACACGTAGACGTGCACACGCGAGCTTGCGACGCGACATATGAAAGTTGAAAAATGTTCAACTTTTGTCGCTGTCGCTTAGCGTACAACCAATCAGCGAGGGTTCCATTGATTGACCAATGAGCGGAGAGTATGCTACACACTGCCGTTAGCTAACACTTTCACCAAGTGATTATTAAAAAAGGCAGCTTTGTGGGAATTTGTTGGCATCAGGGTGAAGTTATCCGGTAAGTTTTTCCTTATAAAATTGTATCTTGGTGTGTGTTTTTATTCAATATCATTAGCATCGCAAGATTTGTTTAGTTTACACGTCCGTAATGCACACCCCCGTTTTAGTGAACCACCAATAACCTTTACAAGAGGCAGCAGAAGAACCAATAAAATTTCGTGAAGACAAGCGACCTGAGAGTGTGATTCGTAACGCTGCCATTGCTATYGCGTCCCGTGTGTCGGGTTTCACCCTGGCTGCGATGACAGCTGTTAATCGCTGTAGTTTGTCGCTCCCCGTGTGTCGAGCCCTTAATGCATAGAACCACCTTTTTTTATAAAGCCAGAATAAGAGTCTTTTAAAGTTCAAGCCATCTAAATAAAAGAACTGGGTATTTCTAACCTTACAATTCAATTTCATTTCAATTCTTTGGCTCATGATTTTATTTGATTCAATTAGATATTGTTTTAAATGCTTTGAAATCAATTTCTCAATAAGAAGAAGTACACAAATACTTTATTTCCCCATTTAAACAGAATTTGTGCACATTAACATTTTTTGGGAAACAAAATACCTGAAAATAAAGCAAAGCGCAAACATAAAAACATGGCAAACAGGCCAGGGAATTGAATCGATTCAGATGATTTTCTGAATCGATATTGAATTGCATTGCACTGATAAATCTGTATTTTTACCCATCCCTACTCAACAATCAGGAGGAAGTAAAAGCAATAAAAAACAGTGTTCATGTAAACTGCTATGATTTATTTAGGGACTGGAGTCATTTTAAATCAGCACTAATGCAATTTAGCTCCTTTCAAACTAGCGGTTAGTTCAGCCTGCTCACGATTGAACTTCATTTCTTCAAGCTAAGTTTGTTCAAAGAGCCATCTACAACAGGTAAGATAATTACTGATCTCCACAGAGTACCACTTAAAAAGATCTGAACTACCACTGTCAAGGTTGATACTCAAAATCTGAGTGGGAATGATGCAGGAAATGGGATGCACCTCAGGCCCGGTGTTCATGAAAGACACATGATGCGAGTCTGACAAACAAACAGCAAAATCACACAGGAACTGTGTGAATCATGAACATAATTTSTAGGCTAAGGTGCTGTTTGTTAGAATAATCCTTTGATAACGATGGAAGAAAAGAACGACAGCAGCAAGATGATCAGGTAGGAAGAGGACAGAGGGAAAAACTGCTGAGAGCAGCAGAAAGTTAGGGAGTGCTTTAACCTCRTCTGTAATTAGAAGATGGCATTTGAATTTGTTAGGAGATACCAGATTTACCTAAAGCAGCAAAGACGCATGCTTGTGAAGCAGCTTCTGGGAAAACTTGGATTTCTACTTGTCAAAAACTCAACTTCTGTTCCAGAATGACACAATGAGCAGAGAAACAGGTTTTATTGGAGTTTACAGCTYGTTAGCATTTTGGAAAGTGAGGCCAAAGCTTGAACTGACAACTTAACTCTGTCTAAGTTGCACACAATGCTTCGGTAGGCACAAATTGGTACGTGGCGTCTCTGATTATGGATTTTTTCTTGGTACAAAATGTTGCGTTCAGCTTCGACAATCTGTTTTCACATGCAGGATCGGCCCGAGGCTGCGGACAAGTCTCAACACGGAAGGATTAATCACAAGCTCCAATACTAAACCCAGTACTAAGAATAAATCGCTAAAAGCATGACATCACTCGTCTCCTTTGCCAATCAGGACGAAGCGATGCCCAACAAGCTGAAACACGTCCGGGGACTTTTAACTGACACGGAAAATGGAAACTCACTGACTCGCCTTTTTTTTTTTTTGGTCGACACCTGCTTTTACCTTTTCTACCTCACAGTTTAAAAAGAGAAGTTGTAAAGTTAAGAAAACTCAAACATAAAAAGAAAGGGGGGAAAAAACTCAACAAATAGATTTAGCTCAGGTGGAGTGGAGGGAAAACTTCTACCCCTCTTTTCACCCACCTAATCCTTCCACACACTGTGATAAGTGACTGAATCCAGTTCCTTAGACAGACCACAGACTGCCAGACACCTCCAGTGTTATCTCTGATAAGCTTATCACTGGGACAGTTCCCCTGAGAAAACCAAACGTGAACTGCCGAGATCAGGGAGTACGATAAATAAAYAACTTAAATAAATAMAAKWAAATCAATCAAACACARCTATGTTAACAGCAAACACTTTTGCACACCGTTTGCCTTTTCTATAGAACTGTGCAGGTTTGGGAAGCACTGGTTAGCCTTGATGGATTGGTTTTGAGACTCTGCAGAGATTTTCTATCACCATTAGCGTGCACGACATCACAGGCTGTTTTATTCTAAGTTTCCTCCATTCATGATCTGCAGGCCCAATAATCCCTCCAATTGACTCACACTGCCTTTAAAGCACACACCTGATTTAGGTTGGCAAAAAATGCTAAAACTGAGTTTTGTCTCATTATGGCAAACTAAGAGGGAAGCATGAAAAAAGTGGRTTTATCACTACTGGTATCATAACATTCAATACGCTCACACTGTTTTTGTAATATTCTAATGCTTTAATCATTTAGTCCATTAAAGTCTGTACTTGGGATATCATCACAAAACTAGTTAGTTTAGCTTAGTCTGAAAGGGACATTTTTTATTTCTAAACTACCCACACAGACTGAGTGTCATCTGGATTTAGATGTTAGACTAGGTTGAAGCCAGATGATAGCAGCTGAAGCTGGGTTTGATCCAGATCAGACCTGGTGAGGACAACACTAAGGGGGTTTGAGGTGATCTCTTGAAGTGTTGGGTCATTAAATGGACTGAAATACCCAATTAGAGTTCAAAAAAGGGGTGGAAGTATAGAAAATGTTGCATGTGGTTGGATCAAAATAAAATAAACTATAAATCAGAAATTAAATTTTGCTGGAAGCTTTTCATTCAGCCTGATTCCTGCAGGAAAATAAAAATAAAAATTGCCTTTTTAAACCATCAACTAAAAGTTGTCATTTGAGTTAATTTCATATCATCTTAATTAAGGGTGTAAGAAAATATCGATGCACTGAAATATCGCGATA